TCCCCAGGTGGCCACAACTAATGGGGTTGGGTCAGGCTGAAACCAGGAGCTTCTTCTGGGTCTCCCGTGTGGGTGGCATGGGCCCAGGTATTTGGGCCATCTTCTGCTGCTCTTCCTGGTCATTAGCAGAGAGCGGGATCAGAAGCGGAGCAGCTGGGACACCGGCACCCATATGGGATGCCAGTGTTGCAGGTGGTGGCTTTACCTGCTATGCCACAGTGCCAGCCTTTACTTAAACATTTTAAAAAGATTTATGTATTTATTTGAAGTGGAGGTTGACAGAGAGAAAGGTCTCCTATCTACTGGTTCACTCCCCAAATACCTGCAATAGCTAGGTTTGGGCTGAAGCCAGGAGCTTGGAACTCCATGTGGTTCTCCCATGTGGGTGGAAGGGACCCAAGTATTTGGGCCATCATCCGCTCTCTTCCCAGGTATATTGGGAAGCTGGATCAGAAGCCCAGGACCTGGGACCTGAACTGGCACTCCAATATGGGATGCAGGTTTCCCAAGCAGCAGTTTAACCTGCTGTGTCACAATACCTGCCCCTAAATGAAAAAAAGGCAGAGTGGACAGTGAGAGAGAGAGACAGAGAGAAAGGTCTTCCTTTGCCGTTAGTTCACCCTCCAATGGCCACCGCGGCCGGCGCACTGCGGCCGGCGCACTGCGCTGATCCGATGGCAGGAGCCAGGTGCTTCTCCTGGTCTCCCATGGGGTGCAGGGCCCAAGCACTTGGGCCATCCTCCACTGCACTCCCGGCCACAGCAGAGAGCTGGCCTGGAAGAGGAGCAACCGGGACAGAATCCGGCGCCCCGACCGGGACTAGAACCCGGTGTGCCGGTGCCGCAAGGCAGAGGATTAGCCTAGTGAGCCGTGGCGCCGGCTAAATGAAAAATTTTTAAAAGATTTACTTATTTAAAACTTATTTATTTGTTAAAGATTTATTTATTTGAGAGTCACAGAGAGAGAAGAGGAGACAGAGAGAGAGAGAGAGAGAGAGATCTTGCTGGTTTACTGCCACAGCTAGGGGTGGGCGAGGCTGAAGCCAGGAGCCAGGAGCTTCATCTGGGTCTGCCACTTGGGTGCAGGGGCTCACTGCTTTCCCAGTCACATTAGCAGGGAGCTGGATCAGAAGTGGAGCAGCTGAGATTCGAACCAGCGCTCATATGGGATGCCAGAGCTGTGACAGTAGCTTAATTTGCTACACCACAACACCAGCCCCTAAAGGAAATTTTAGTTGACAAAGAGTTCTGCATATTTATGGAGTACAGTGTAATAATTTGATACAAATAGTGTATTATGGTCAAATCAGGGTAATTAGCATCTCCATCTTCTTAAACATTTTTTATAAATATGTATTTATTTATTTGAAAGGTAGAGTTGCAGAGAGGGGTAGAGAGAGAGGGAGGGGGAAAGCGGGAGAGGGGGAGAGGTCTTCCATCTGCTGGTTCACTACCCAAATGGCCACAACAGCTAGAGCTAGGCTGATCTGAAGCCAGGAGCCTAGGTCTCCCATATGGGTGCAGGGGTCCAAGCACTTGGGCCATCTTCTGCTGCTTTCCCAGGCCATAGCAGAGAGCTGGATCAAAAGTGGAGCAACTGGGACTCAAACCAGCACCCATATGGGACTTGAACCAGCAGGCACTACAGGCAGCAACTTTACCCACTGCACCACAGTGCTGGCCCCTCTCCTTAAACATTTATCATTTCTTTGTGTTGGAGACTTTCAATTCCTTTCTCCTAGTTCTTTAGAAATAATCTATTCATTTATTTTATTTATATGAGAGACTTACACAGATTCCTCAAATGCCTGCAACAGTTGGAGCTGGGCCAGGTAGAAGCTGGCAGCTGGGAGCTCAATCCAAGTGTGCTCCATGGGTTGCAGGGACACAACTACTTAAGTTGTTAGCTGGTGGCCAGCACCGTGGTGCAGTGGGCTAATTCTCCACCTGCGGCACCAGCATCCCAAATAGGCACCGGTTCTAGTTCCGGCTGCTCCTCTTCCAGCTCTTTGCTGTGGCCTGGGAAGGCAGTAGAAGATGGCCCAAGTCCTTGGGCCCCTGCATCTGCATGGGAGACCAGGAAGAAGCACCCGGCTCCTGGCTTCAGATCAGTGCAGCTCCAGCCATTGCGGCCCTTTGGGGAGTGAACCAATGGATGGAAGACCTCTCTCTGTCTCTCCCTCTCACTGTCTATAACTCTACCTCTCAAATAAATAAATAACAAACAAACATAGGGCCGGCGCCGCGGCTCACTAGGCTAATCCTCCGCCTAGCGGCGCCGGCACACCGGGTTCTAGTCCCGGTTGGGGCGCCGGATTCTGTCCCGGTTGCCCCTCTTCCAGACCAGCTCTCTGCTGTGGCCCGGGAGTGCAGTGGAGGATGGCCCAGGTGCTTGGGCCCTGCACCCCATGGGAGACCAGGAAAAGCACCTGGCTCCTGGCTCCTGCCATCGGATCAGCGCGGTGCGCCGGCCGCAGCGCGCCGGCCGCGGCGGCCATTGGAGGGTGAACCAACGGCAAAGGAAGACCTTTCTCTCTGTCTCTCTCTCTCACTGTCCACTCTGCCTGTCAAAAAATAAAAAAAAAATAAATAAACAAAAAATAAATAAATAAAAACAAACAAACATAAAAAAATATTTCCTGCAGCCTCCCAGGGTGCACATTAGCAGGAAGTTGGAATTGGGAGAGTTGAGACTCAATCCCAGGCACTCCGTTATGGCTCTGGGTGTCTCAAGCAGTGTGTGGACCACAGTGCCTGATACCCGTTTTTTTTCTGGCTCTTTATAAAATATATGATACATTGATGTCAACTGCTGTGCTATAGAACACCAGTACTTCCCCTTATCTAAGCTTATTTTGTTACTTGTTGTCTTACCTCCCTGTAGTCCTCTCTACCCTCCCCTTCAAGTTGATGTTCTAGAAGGGAGTAGAATAGTGGTTCCAGAGGAGGGTTTGAGAGCATGCTTGAAGGTGTTTCACGCCATCTGTCTCCTGAGGGAGGCTTCCAGTGGTCATGGACTGTTACCTGATGTCCATCTTGTAGGTGAAAGGACCATGAAGGGCCACTCAGAATGCATAAAACGCCTGGATTCTAACTTCAGGTAGGCAGGATGGATCCTCCTTCAGCAAGGCGTATCGTGTTTGGGCTTTCACCTGTTCCTTAACCTAGCAACAACTGCTAATCGTTGCTGCGGCCGGAGGAGGGTGAAAAGTGTGAACTCGAGCAGATTGCCGGGGTTAGCTCTGGCTCCACCACTGCCCAGCTGCAGAGCGTGGGCGAGTGATCTCTCCTCTCAGCCAGTTTCCCCACACGCCCGCCCTCATGAAGTGGCAGCATGCACAAGGGAAGAGTGCCTAGTGCCAGTGTCACATCCCCATTACACTGTGGTGCCCACAGGCATCCGTGGACAGTCACGGGAGGAACAGGTGCGGGCTTTCCCTCTGAGTCCACAGGCTGGATGGGAGATGAGACAAAGGTCCAACGTGGTGTGTCAGGCTGTGAGGACCGAGGGTAGTGAGGTTGGCCCCAGGAAGGTTCTCTCTCTGGAAGGAACGAGCTGAATTGTGGGAGGACATCCAGACCCCACAGAAGCCTTGCAGCAGGCCTGGGCTTGGTGCTGTGACACGTGGTGAGGGGCAGAGGATGAAGGGACAGTGGTGGGAGGCAAGGGTTGATTGAGAGCAGCCAGGGAAATGCATGGTCTTGGGCCACAGTGAGGATTCCAAGCTGTGGTGGAGTGTTAGAAGCACTTTCTAAAGGCTGTAATGTAAATGTGCATATAAAATTTACCTAGAGGTTATTGCCCAAGTCTCAGATTCCCTTAACAGCCACAAAACCCAGCCCAGGGCGAGTGTTTGTCCTTGCGCTTTCCTCCTCTCCCCGCCCCTTCTTTCTCCCCAGCCAAGGTTTGTATTTTGATAACAGATGCACTTCACAGGCGGGCCTTTGGCTTTGTGGTTAAGACACCCACTTTCTGTACTGGAGCCTGGGCTTGATTACCAGCTCCTCTTCCTGTTTCAGCTTCCTGCTGGTGTGCATTCTGGGAGGCAGCAGGTGATGGTTCAGTGTTTGGGTCTCTGACATGCGAGACCTGGACTGAGTTCTTGGCTTCTGCCTGGCCCAACTTTGGCCATTGTGAGTGTTGTGGGAGTAAGCAGTGGATGGGAACTGTTTCCCTGTCTCTTAGCCTCTCAAATAAATACATTAAACATAAAAAAAGTTGTATTTCAGGATAGGCGTTGTTTAACTGCTGGTTGGGACACCTGCATCCCAGACCAGATTGCTGGTTCAAGTCCCAGCCACTCTGCTTCCAGTCCAACTTCTTGCTAATGCACCTGGGAAGCAGCAACAGATGGGCAATCCTGGGTGGAGTTTGGCCTCACCCAGCCCTGGCTGTCTGGAGAGTGAACCACAGATGGAAGACCTCCCTCCCTCCTCCTCTCTCTTTCTCTGTCACTCTGCCTTTTAATCAATGAATGACTCTTTAAGAAATGATTTTTTTTTTTTTTTTTTTGTCTACATACCACTCCTGTGTTTCACTTGTCCTCTGTGTTGAAGGTTTTCACTGCCACCCTGCCTAGGCTAAGACATTTGGAAATGGCAATGGCATCTGATCTTTTAAATTATGTACCGCCCCCCCCCCCCCCAATCGCTGTGGAACCCTGCAGTGGAAACTGTTCAGCCTCTGTTTTTTGGGCTGATTGAGCATTGGACAGGTAAGAGGTGAAAGCCGGCAGAAATGTCAGGGGTCAGGCCTAGACCAAGTGAAGAGGTGGATGCTGGCAACATGCAGGCCGGATCAGTGGGGCAGGAGAGTTATGGTGTCTGTGGGACAGTGAGAGGGCAGCAGCCGCTCTGGTCCGGCTGCTTGAGGCATCAGACCAACGGCGCCTGCAAAATGACTCCTCTGCCCGTGCCCCTCAGCAGCCGGACACCCTTGCGCACTGTGGGTCTGTGATGGGCCGAGCGACTAAATGCCTGTTCCTCTTTCTCTCTCTGAAGTCATGGATTTGGAAGCTTTCATTAAGACCATGAAGAGGGTTCTGAGCAATGCGTCAGATGACATGCTGGAGGCACTGTTTCTGAAGGTGGACTCAGACTGTAATGGCTTTGTCACCTGGGTGAGCAGGGTGCCCCTGCTGCCTCAGGGCACGGAGGAACAGGTGGAGGGAGGGCCAGAGGTGGGGGCAGTCCCGTGGGGTGTTTGCTGGCTGGAAGGAACCCTAGGTGTCTTGGAGGGGTCCCTTCTGAGACTTCTGGGAACTGGGCTCCTTGCTGTTCCACACCTTCCTGGGGTGCTGGAGAGTGTGTGACAAGTGTCATGAGCCCCTGTGTGAGACCTTCTGAGTGCAATGGTGAGCAGCTAAGGTTTCCCCACCTGCCACAGGCTGCCCTGCATCCCAGCATCCAAGCTGCTTGTCTGGCTGTGGGCATTCAAGCTGACTGTTCCATGGCTGTCTATGGTCACTCAGGAACAAGCAAACCAAAAATGCTAGGGCTTTCTAGCATGGTAATAATAATGTTTTTGTTGTTTCCTGACAGTAAATGTCCTGCTGTGAGCACTCAGGCGTTGAAGCCGCAGAACGATTTCCCTGCTTAGCCAGGTTGGGAAACGGAGGCATAGGGAAGTTAGGACATTTGCCCTGGGTCACAGAGCTGTAGTTAGCAGAAGAGCCAGTATTCAGACCTAGGCCCTCTGCCTCAAGAGTCCACGTGTGCTCTGCCACTCAAACCTCCTCCTTGGTTGAGATGTAAGAAGGGAAATGGATAAGCCGAAAAGACAGGTTTATTGTGGTACAAAAACTTCGAAATCCATGGGCAGTTTTTTCATAACACACATTCCCGTGAACTTTTTGAAGTCAGAGTTTGTGCAGCACGGAGGGTGTTTTTGTCTAGTTACAGTGGCTCCAGCCAGGATCACATCGCCCGGGTCCGAGTCCCGGCTCTGCTCCCTATGCCAGTCTCCTACTGTGTGCACCCTGGCAGGGCTGGGTGGGGGCACAGAACCAGGCTCAGCTTCCTAAAGCCTAATGCGGGGCTGATTTGTCTGCACCCTCCCTCCCTTGCCTTTTCTTCCTGAGGCAGCAGAAGTATGTGGACTATATGATGGGCGAGTTCCGGGGCCAGGAGGAGATGAGGAAGAGCCAGTACCGCCTGCGCTTCCACCTCCCCATGACCGTCGTCCCCCTGTAAGGAGCCTCTGCCTGGGCCTGGGCGGGGGCGGTAGGACGAGCGCTGGCCCTTATGTTGAGACTCCTTCAAGCCACAGGCCACTCTCGGTGCTGCCCCGGGGCCTGCCCACAGCTGACGCTCTGTGTCCTTCAGCTCCTTCAGGCTCGTGGCCCTGCAGTGTTTGGGAGGGCCGAGAGGGTGATTTGTCCTCCTTTCACAGAGCACACTGGGGCTCAGAGAGGTGGGCAGCTTGTCCCAGGTCAGAGGCAGGGGTGGTCGGGTTGCTGTATTTGGTCCTCTGAGTCTGTCCCCCAGGACACTACATTGTTTCGTTTCTTCCCACGGCCAGGGCCCTGTGGGCTGGCAGCCTCACCCACAGGGCTGTAGATGGCTTGCGTGTGTACATCTGGGGTGACAGGAGTGAAACTCAGCGTGGCTGGCCCTGGGACGGCTCCTTCAGTCACTGATGGGCTTTGATGGCCCTGTCTCTCTTCCAACTCCTGCCTGAGCCTGCCTGCTCCCTGCTTCTGTGGCTCCACTACCTGCTGTTCACACTGGACCTTGGCCTTGAAGGGGAAGAAAATTGTCCTCTCCTTCTGCCCATGTTAGATTCACTGATTGGGGTCCCTGTCACTGAAGACAGACCCAGGAGATGAAGACCGTGAGAATTTATTTAATATTAGTGTATGTGTCCAGGGAGCCTTCGTAAGAAAATGAAGACCCCAAGAAGTAGTTCAAGTATGTTTCAGGCTGGGTTTGAGGAGCAGACCAAAACATGGGAGGATGTGATAGGACAAAGTGAGTGGCAGCAAAGCACTTTTTTAAAAAAAAGATTTATTTATTTATTTGAAAGGCAAAATTAGAGAAAGAGATCTTCTGTCCACTGGTTCACTCCCCAGATGGCCACAAATGTCGGAGCTGGGCCCATCTGAATCCAGGAGCTGCGTCTGGGACTCCTGTGTAGGTGCAAGGGCCCAAGCAGTTGGGTCCCTCTGCTTTCCCAGGCACATTAGTAGGGAGATGGATTGGAAGTAGAGTAGCCAGGACACAAACCTGTGCCCGTAGGGGATGCTGGTGATCGCAGGCAGCAGCTTTACTTGCTACGCCACAACACTGGCTTGTAGCTAAACATCTTATTATATTTATTTATTTATTTATTTTTGGACAGGCAGAATTAGAGAGAGAAAGGTCTTCCTTTTAAATCTGTTGGTTCACCCCCAAAGTGGCCACTATGGCCGGCGTGTTGTGCCAATCCGAAGGCAGGAGCCAGGTGCTTCTCCTGGTCTCCCATGCAGGTGCAGGGCGCAAGGACCTGGGCATCCTCCACTGCACTCCCTGGCCACAGCAGAGAGCTGGCCTGGAAGAGGAGCAACTGGGACAGAATCCGGCGCCCCAACCGGGACTAGAACCCGGTGTGCTGGTGCCACAGGTGGAGGATTAGCTTAGTGAGCTGCAGCGCTGGCCTGTAGCTAAGCATCTTAAACGGGAACGTGGCCAGGCCTGTCTGCTCAGAATCCCCCGTGTCCCATGTCTGACAATCAGCAGCGCTTTCCCTCCTGTGCGTGGAGGGCCGTGTCTCTCACCATGTGTCCGCCCTGTGTGTGTAGCTTCTTCAAGTTCCTTGAGTGTAACACACTCACCTGCCCAGGTGCTGTACTGGGGGAGGCGTCTTGTCAGCTTCCTCCTCCTCCCGGGCCATGGCCCTGCCCACACCCACTGAGTCTGCCTTCCTCCAAGTTTCTGAGAACCAGGAGCACTGCACCGGCTCAGAGCAGCCCCCGTGGCCGGGGCTCTGGAGCTGACCTGCCCATGACCGCTGGCTGCCTTCTTGGAGCCCACCATGGGTTGGGGCACCAGTTGCCTGGGGCCCGCGTCTCCTGCAGCCAGCTGCAGATTTGTATGGGCCCATGCTCATGGAAGTGAGGGACGCTCCTGTCCTTGCTCCCTTCTCCTCTGTGGGCTCTCAGTCCTGATGCAGGGGACGCCTGCAGCCTGAGCTGGTCCTGCTTGCAGTCTCCCCTGACCTCCCCCCACTGCAGGAATCATGGATGTGAGATTGTGAAAGTGGCGTTTTTGAAGCTGCGGTTCAAGAAGATCGGGTGCTTCCTGAGCATCAGTAAGGACGGGCTCCTGCAGTTCTGGTCAGAGAGCTTCTCACTGATCAGCTCCTTTAGGGTGAGTGGGGCCCCGTGGGGTGGCCGGGAGCTTCTGGCTTTGTGTGCCAGCCCGCTGGACCTGCGTTCGTGGGACTTGGGTTCAAGATGTGGCTTCCCCGGGGGAGCTTCCTGTTGCCCTCACTAAGCGGGATACTGCTTGGATGTCCCTTCCACCTGGCTGTCCAGCAGACACCGCAATGCCTGTTTGTCCTTGATTTCACTGCCCATGAGGCTTGCTTCTCTGTGTTGCCACAGCGGTGCCGGGTACCATCACCCAGAAAGCACCAGAGCTGGAAGTCAGCCTCCTCTCCTTTCTTTGTCACACACACTGTCCCCAAGTTCTGATGCAGACCCTTCGCCTGGACCAGGCAGGAAATCATGGCGGGTTCGAGTGCAGGCTCCAGAGCCTGGCTGCCCCAGCCACCCACTGTGTTGCTCTCCGTGCCTGTTTTCCTTGCTGTAAACAGGGATAGTAAGAGAACCTCTTGCAGGGCTGTGTGGGGGGCGGGCGGGGGTGGGGGTTGACTGCTGCGGTACACGTGTAGTGCTTGGGCCGGGGCAAGGCACACAGCACGCACCCTGCAAACAGCCGGGGGCCCCCGGCAAGGAGTGAGTCAGTGATCACACTCAGGAGGCGCTGTGTGCGCAGTGTGGCGAGGCCGAGTCCTCCAGCAGGTGGGGAAAGCCCTGCTCCCCGTGGGTGCTGCCGCCGCAGGAGCGGGTGGGAGCCGGTGATGGCGAGCGTTCCGCGCCGTGGAGCTAAGGTCTGCAGGGGCCTAGACCCTCACAAGGCCTTCACACCTGCCTCCCTGATGCACAGGTTTCTGGCCCCTCCGTCCTTCTTTTCTCTCTGTGCGTCTTAGAGGGCAGGTGCACTGTGGCCTGAGCTCTGGGTGTGTCTGCCACGCGGGCGCCTGGGTGGCACAGGAGGGCAGAGGAGGACAGAAGGCTCCCTGGGCAGGCCCAGCAGACCTGGAGGCTCTTCCTGGAGAGGCTGCTCTGGCAGGTGGACTCTCCCTGAACGCAGCGTGGGGCCCAGGCTTCACTCACTAGCCGTGCCACCTTGACCAAGGCACTGAGACGCCCAAGGCTCTCGGAGTGTCCTGGGAGGGATGGCAGATGCGAGTTGGCAGGCTCCGCCGCTGTGGGTTAGACTGCAGCCCAGCGAGTTTCCGGCCTGTTTGCCTTACCGCCAGAGCCTGTGTGGGAGCACAGGCGCGGGCCTTGCTGCGCTCTGGGTCCTGACACACAGGCCGCCCGTCCTGCCCCATCAGTTCCTTTTGAACGTCTGTGTGGAGGACTGACTCCCTTGGAAACAGACCCGGTCGTTCCCTTCCTGCTCTTTTGTGCAAAACATGAATTTCACGCAGGGAGCAGAGTCCTTCGGTGCCCCACCTAAGCCATCTCCCACTGAGCCCTAACCCAGAGCCTGCCCCTCTGGCCTCCTGTCCTCCCCGGATATGGGGGAGGAGGTACGGCTTTGCTTGTGCCTCCCCACTGGGGTGCCAGCCCCAATACTGTGTACATGGGGGTCATGTGAGGCAGCACCAGGCAGTGGAAGGGCCCTGGCACTAAGTGCCCGCCGAGTGCCCGGTGCCATTCATTCCTTGAACCTGGTAGAACGAATCCTTGCTAACAGGGCCACTTTGACCAGGCAACACCTGCAGAGGGTAAACAGGAGTCAGATGTGGAGAGGGTCAGGTGGTGGAAGGGTGATCTCCCTTCCCTGAGACCCTGACTTCTCTCCCTGGAGACAGCTGCTATGGGCTAGGGGTGGGGGTGGGTGTGTCGGTGGGTGGGTGGTGAGGGTCCGCATGAGCTGTGCTTTCAGGCTGGTCTGGGGTGGGGTGTGTGTGTGGGGGAAGTGAGGGTTCTCACGTGCGCGCACGTGTACGTGTGTATGTGTGTGTGTGTATGGTGAGGGTCTGTGTGTGTGTGGTGAGGGTCTGTGTGTGTGTCGGTGGGTGGGTGGTGAGGGTCCGCATGAGTTGTGCTTTCAGGCTGGTTTCTGGTCACTGTCATGGCCAGGCTCAGCTCGTGCCCTTCCCGGCACGCACTTGCTGGTGAGTGCACACAGGTGTGTCTTGGAAATGCATCCCCGATTGAAAGTGCTGCGCCCGGCCGGCACCGCAGCTCACTAGGCTAATCCTCCGCCTTGCGGTGCCGGCACACCGGGTTCTAGTCCCGGTCGGGGTGCCGGATTCTGTCCCGGTTGCCCCTCTTCCAGGCCAGCTCTCTGCTGTGGCCAGGGAGTGCAGTGGAGGATGGCCCAAGTCCTTGGGCCCTGCACCCCATGGGAGACCAGGAGAAGTACCTGGCTCCTGGCGCACCGCGCTGGCCGCGGCGGCCATTGGAGGGTGAACCAACGGCAAAAAGGAAGACTGACTTGGGTAGATCTGTTGGTTGTTCTGTTCTTTTTTTTTTTTTTTTTTTTTTTTTTTTTTTTTTGACAGGCAGAGTGGACAGTGTGAGAGAGACAGAGAGAGAAAGGTCTTCCTTTGCCGTTGGTTCACCCCCCAGTGGCCGCTGCGGCCGGTGCGTTGCGGCCGACGCACCACGCTGATCTGAAGCCAGGAGCTAGGTGCTTCTCCTGGTCTCCCGTGGGGTGCAGGGCCCAAGCACTTGGGCCATCCTCCACTGCACTCCCGGGCCACAGCAGAGAGCTGGCCTGGAAGAGGGGCAACCGGGACAGAATCCGGTGCCCCGACCGGGACTAGAACCCAGGGTGCCTGTGCTGCAAGCGGAGGATTAGCCTAGTGAGCTGCGGCGCCGGCCAGCGTTGGCTGTTCTTTAAGCTGATTTTTTGCACCTGTAGAAACAGACTCAGTTTGAATATTAGGCTTTTAGTAGTTAGTGGTCGCTCTGGGCTGCATGCTTTGTGTGGCAGGAGGGGGTTTCAGGGACCCAGGGCTCCTGGTGTGCCTCCTCAGGCGAGCGTCCCCAGCCTGTCTCCTCTGCTCCTCCTTGGCCAGCTTGACCAGATACAGCCGTCCCGCAGCCAGAAGATGTGGGTCACCGACATGGTGTGTCTGCACAACATGAACCTCCTGGCGGTGGCGTCAACGGAGCTGAAGATCGGTGAGTGCCTCCTCTCAGCCGTCCTTGGGGGCTGCCGTCGGCCGGCCCTTAGGGTGTTGCCAGTGGAGAGAACCGGCTGGGCTGAGTCACTTGTCTGGTTGGCAGCCCAAGCCTCACTTTGTAGGCAGGAGCGCTGGGTGACTGCTGGAATGACTAGCACCCGAGTCTGTATGCTGGAGACCATAGGCAGTGCACATCCAGCCCCGATTCTGCCTCTGATCTCTTGCCACTCCCGGTCCTGGCCACCTCCATCTCTCCATGGAATGGCACGGAAGCTTCCTGCTGCTACTCACACTTCCCCTCAGGCCCACCATGGCAGCCAGGGTGGCACTTAAAATGCCCGTTTGCAGAAAGCCTGCTCTTCCAACGGAGAGGGGATCTTAATGTGCTCCGTGAGACCTGGACGGGCCGAGCCCTGCTGCCCTGGCAGTCCCCTCTGCCTGCCCCGCTTAGTCAAAGTCAGGTTCTTCTCTTCCAAAAGAGTGAGATCGACCCCCCTCCAAGGTCCCTGCTGCCGCCCTGTCACGCAGCTGTTAGCACAGCCCTGTTTTGTGGTCTGTCTCTTCCTCTGGACTGGAAGCTGCACAGGGTCGGAGACTTTTGCTCAGCCCAGTGTCTCAGTGGCTGCGTGAACGAAGCGTCCTGTGCGGCAACCTTGTCAGGTAGCCAGGGAGAGGAAACTCATGTGCAGAACTGCAGCCAACGGCACAAGCCCCTCAGGACGGGGAGCAGCTGTTCTGGAACAAGCGGGCCTTTGGAGTCAGGAGGGCCTGCGTTCAGACCCTTGTCCCACCACTCTGTAGATGGATGCCTCAGTTTACCCAGAGGTAAAATGGGGCTAATAACTCACGTCCTCAGGGTGAATCTGGCTTAGTGGCTAGGTGTGTGGAGCTCCTGGCACAGTGAGATCTTCCACCTGCTGGTTCACTCCCCAAGTGCCTGCAGTAGCTGGGGCTGGGCCAGACTGAAGCCGGGAGCTCTGAACTCCACCTGGGTTTTCCACGTGGGTGGCAGGAACTCAAGTACTGACCTGCCCTCTGTGGACTCCTAGGACGCCTGTTAGCTGGAAGCTCTATCAGAAGTAGAGGAGAGACTGTCACAGGCCCCGTGCTGCGGGATGTGGGCATCCCAAGTAGTGTTTAACGCTTAACCCACTGGGCCACAGTGCCAGCCCCAGGAGCCCATGTTGGAGATGATCAGGTGTCATCACAGCCATCCTGACTGAGCAGCTGCCATCTGCCCGGAGACACCTGGGCATGGCCAGAGACAGGGCTGCCGTGGCCCAGCGTGACCCGCAGCCTCCGAGGCCCCAGCCCGAGCAGAGGTGGCTGAGAGTCTGCCACTCTGCTGCTTGTTAGCCAGGGGCTGCACCTGCAGCTGGGCCTCCTGGAGGGAGGCAGACCTCGGAGGTGCTGAGCGCTGAGGCACTGGCTGGAAGGGCTGCACTGAAGGCTGCTGAACACAGTGGAAAGAGTGTTGGCAAAAGATGCATGGCAGGGGCTGGCGCAGGACAGGACGAGGGAAGGCAGCGAGCCTGGGGGAGCTGACCCTTACTGCCCTCCCCAGTGCGCCTGGGCGTCACCTGATTATGAGTCTCCTGTGGTGGGGCTGGAGGGGCCAGGCTGAGCCCTGGCTGCTGAGGGGGCCGCTGGGCCCTGACGTGGGTCTTTGCTTCTGACTGCTTACGCACCTGCTGGGAAGCACTGAGAGAGAGTGAGCGGATGGGCAGAGCTTCCGGTGACGGCAGTGCCCAGGGCCCGGCAAGTGCTCTCTTGTTTGCTGGTCACGCCCCGTCACTTTGTGATTCTCTAGGGCTCTAGGCCCTGCGGGTACCACGGGCCCCGCCCAGACACACCCCCTCCCTCACTGAGCCTGCTTTGTAGCAGGAGAGACAGACCCTAAAAATGCAAACAAACCAAGAAGCATTCAAGGTTGAGATAAATTCAAGGTTGAGATAAATGAGGGGGCTGACAGCAGGGTCCCAGCCCAGGCGGGAAGCCTTTCCGAGGAGGCGACCTCTGAGCTGGGTCTTTCTCCCTGATGGAGGGGATGGCAGGTGGGGAGGCTGTGCAGGGCGAGCTGGGCACCAGTGGGGCGGGAGGGGCGGGGAGGGGCATGGAGGGCGAGGCCCCAGGCGCCTCGCAGGCTGTGCCGGGTACTTGGGACGTTCTCGCAGCTGCGGTGGGAAGTGTTGGCAGTTTGGCAGGGTACCGGCTGGATGGGCTTGCCTCGACTGCACAGGTGGAGGCTGCGGGAGAGCTGCGGGGCAGGGCCGGGCCCACTCGTCCGTCCGTCTCGCTGTCTCTCCCCAGAGTTCTTTGATATCAGTAACCGTCGGTGTGTCCGGGCCTTCACCTTGGTTGATGTGGACAGCTGCGTGCTGGCCATGGACTACTGGTGAGGAACCCCCCTCCCCCGGAAGGAGGTCTGGAAGGGCCCTGTGTCCTCTTGCCCCTCACCCTTTGCTCTGGGGCCCCCTTTCACGGTCACTCACACCACAAGGTTGTCACTCCTCTTGTCCCTCCCCAGGCTGGTCCCGCTTTGGCTGCAGACGCTGGAGTGTCAGCCTGTAAGGCGGGGTGGCTTGACACCCAGCAGCTGCAAGGCTTAATTTTGGTTGAAAAAAATGTCAACTGAATTCTGGCTCTGAGATGGTGTGAATCCTCTTGCTGGGCCCCTCCTCCCCTAGGCAGGTGTTGGGGGCAGGGCTGGAAGCCTTGTCCTGCTGGACCTGCCCTCGTGCCCAAGGCGGAGGCTCACTTCCTGCCTGTCTTCCCCAGGTCTGACTATCACAAAGGCGTGTTCTGCTATGGGGATACCAAAGGCAGTGTCATCATCTTCACTTCCGACAACATGACCCACGGGCTGTTCAACCCCCACATCCTCCCCAAGGCCTCCAAATGGGGTAACTAAGAGGCTCAGGGGAATTGGCGGGGCCTGGGAGCCATAGAAACCGGTGCCCAGATGGCCAGGCCCCATCTCCGCTGCTGGAGCCCGGCTGAGCGGCTGTGGGAGGAGGGGGTGATGGGGGCAGCAGGACACCAGAAGGGGGCGGCTTCTGGAGGGTGGGAGGTTGTGCAAGCAAGGCCCAGGGCCATGGGCCTCTGCCTCCCCAACTCCACCCCCCGGGAGAATGAGGGGAGAGCCTTTGACCCGGGAACCCTCTGCTCCTGAGCTGCCTCGGGGTAGGGAGGCTGCCCAGGGCCAGGCTCTGTGGGGCCAGGACAGCCTGGCTTGAGCAGAGCCAGCCATGCTGAGGATCTGGTGCTGAGCGCGTTGGGAGCATCCTCTGCGGGAGCCCCCTCTCCCTTGGAGGGGGTGGCTGCTGCCACAGCCCTGGGCGAGAGAGGCATAGAAGGTGGAGACCACACGTGGCCCAGGCCCACAGCTGTGCTCCTCGGCTGAGATCCGATGCCCGCTTGCTAGGCCGCCTCACAGGTTGGGATTACATTAAGAAGGGACTGTTTGGAGCTGCTCTCCCGAGGGGTGCTGGGTCCCCAGAGACCGCAGGACCGGGGGCTGTCTGGGGGACTCATCTGAAAGCCAACATTGAGCTGTGGCTGCACAGGCTGTGCCTCCAGGTCACTCCCTGTCCATCCAGAGAGGCCCAGGGACACTGGGCTCCCTTTCCATGCAGGATGCAGAGCCGCCCCTTGGGCTTCCACCAGGGGATCCTAAGCCTTGGGGACGCTGCTGCCAGGCTTGTTGGGGCAGCATACGCCACTGTCAGGGCACAGATGGGTCCTGTACTGGACACAGCAGTACTCGGGACCCGCTGGACCCTTGCCACCTCAGCCCCCGGGCCTGCCCTGGTCGCTCTGTCGTCCTGGGAGTTGGCACAGGAGGTGTGGCGGTCTTTGAGCTGAGTGGTAGATGGGAACTTGGGGGCGGGACAAGTGAAGCTGGAGTGGTGGATGTGAGTCCTTCCATTCCCCTGCTGGCCAGAGGCTGGGGCGCACATGGCGACGAGGGCCCCGCGTGTTGACTTGGGAGGAGATGAACACCCAGGTATGCACCCAGCTCTGTGTGACCTGGAGGCAGTTGCATAACCTCTCTGTGCCTTGGTTCCTATATTCCAATGGGGATGACCAGGCTTATGGAGGACTCTGCTGTAAGATTTGTGGAACAGGAGAGCATGGAGGTGGGCAGACAGCACATGCCAGTGGCCATGGCCTGCAGTTGTGCAGGTAAACAGGTGGGAGCACCATGGCCTCTCCCAGACTCCCTCTCCCTCTGTGCCCATGTGCAGCCTGGGGCAGCATCCCCCCCCTTGGGGCTGCGTTTCCCTCTCCCTCTGTGCCCATGTGCAGCCTGGGGCAGCATCCCCCACCTTGGGGCTGCGTTTCCCTCTCCCTCTGTGCCCATGTGCAGCCTGGGGCAGCATCCCCCCCCTTGGGGCTGCGTTTGCAAGCTGCCTCCTGCCACACAAGGCCAGCGACCTGCAGGAAGATGCTTGGCTGAATCCCCAGAGCCCACCTCTCTTTTTTTTTTTCCCTCATGTTCCCTGGGCATTTGGGCATTTCTCTTGGACTGTCTGGCCTGCCCCTCCCTCCCTCCCTCCCTCTCCCTCTCCCTCTCCCTCTCCCTCTCCCTCTCCCTCTCCCTCTCCCTCTCTCTCTCTCTCTCTCAAGATTTATTTATTTTGAAAGGAAAGGCAGAGTTAGAGAGATCCTCCATCCTCTGGCTCACTCCCCAGGTGGCCATAACGGCCAGGCTGAAGGCAGGAGCTTCTTTTGGGTCTCCCGTGTGGTTGGCAGGGGTCCAAGCACTTGGCCATCTTCTACTGCTTTTCCCAGGCCATTAGCAGGGAGCTGGATCAGAAGAGGAGCAGCCGGGACTCAACCTGGTACCCCTATGGGATGCTGGTGTCGCAGGCAGCAGCTTAACCCGCTGCGCCACAGCGCCAGCCCCTGTCGGGCATCTCTGACCTACCTCCTTAAACTGCTGTGAAGGTGGGCTCGCTGGGTCCCTGAGGCCTTCGGCTCCTTCCACCTGTGAGCAGCCTGCTTTCCCTGCAGGGTCATCAGCTGTTGGCTTTGGGTGCTTTTGGTGGCCAGGGCTGTGCTGAGTGCAGTGCTGGCTCACCACAGTCACCACAGGCAGCCTTCTGCACAGGGACAGCATGTCGTTTTCTCTTTTTTAATCTTTCTATCTTTAAAAAAAATCCATTTATTTGAGAGGCAGGGAGAGAGCAAGCACGCACCCCAGATTTGCTGGCTCACTCCCCAGATGCCTGCAGCAGCCGCTGGACTGGAGCTAGGAGCTGGCCAGTTCAGTCTGGGTCTCCCACTTGGCAGCAGTGACCCGATGACTTGAGCCATCACCTGCTGCCTCCCAGGGGCTGCATTGGCAGGAAGCGGGAATCAGGAGCCAGAGCTGGGAGTCGAGCCCAGGCACTCAGATGTGGGATGTGGCGTCTTAACTGCTAGGCCAAACGCCCACCTGGAGCACGTGGGTGTCGAGGCACGATGCCAACTCCCGCATGATTCCTTTTCAGCATGAATGGAGCCTAGAGTCGCACTTCATTTTCCTCCACAGCAAAGTTGAGCTCCCTGGTGGGGAATCAGTGTTTTCAGGTTTTAGCAGCTGGGAAGCGGGCGAGACCCTGAAATCTCGTTGCCCTTCTGCTGTGAGCTGCAGGGGCACGGGGTGGCCGTGAGAGTCTCCCTAGGTGCCGGGTGAAGGCAGCCCCTGAATTGCCAGGATGCATGCACGGGGGGTGGTGAGGCCTCTGGAGAAGCTCAGGGGTTGCCAGGCGACTCAGGATTCCTCTGGGTCTTGCTCGCCTCCTGGGGGTGGGGAGCCAGTGACGTGGACATTTTTTCCTGTTAGATCACTGGATCAGCATTTCCACCCAGAAGCTCTTAAATGAAAAGTCCACCTTGCATAGAAGTTACCGACTGAAGGTGAGTTGAATCCACACGCACGCAGCACTCAAAAATAAATGCAAAAAGTGAATTTACCCACCTGGGCGTTGGTTCCCGGGAGTGGTGTCAAGGCCGCTGTTGGATCTCGTCTGTTCCACCTGCTGAATGCCACGTGCGGCCACGTCTCTCACTACGCCTATTGCTGAGCTGGCCCTTGAAGTGCCACCTTCTTCCTGGGTGGCTGTGGAGGCTTCCAGCTGGTTCCACTTCCTTTCTCTGTGCCGTTCTCTCTCCTTTCAAAGCCAGAGGAATTGCGACTTAGGAAATAGTCTTGGGCCGGCGTTGTGGTGCAGAGGGTCATGCTGCCACCTGTGATGCCCGCATCCCATGTGGGCCCTGATCTGAGTCAGGGTGGCTCCACTCCAGTTCAGCTCCTTGCCAGTGCATCTGAGAAGGTGGCAGAAGGCGGCCCAGTGCTTAGGCCCCTGCCCCGACCCGGGAGACCCAGGTGGAATTCCAGGCTCCTGGCTGCAGGCTGGGCCAACCCTGGCTGTTGTGGCGATTTGGGGAGTGAACTAGTGGTTGGAAGATAACTTCTCTTTGTCTCTGTCTCCAAACAAGTCTTGTCACTCTAGTAGCTTCTCATTGCATTTGGAACAGAAGGTAATTTTTACCAAGACCATCAGGACACGAGGTGAGCTGGCTCCTGGCTTGTTCTAGGTCTTGGGTTTTTTTTTTTTTTTTGCTTATTAACTCTGCTGCAGAGACAGACCCCTTTGCTTTCCCCTGAACACTGTAAGTCCTTCCCTACCTCAGGGCCTTGGCACATGCAGTTCTGCAGGCTGTAGTACTCTTCCCCAGGTACCTGTAGGACACTCTGCTCCTCGCAGGTGCTCCTCAGCCGGCTTCCTGCAGCCCTGCAGCCCTGCTCACTGCCCTACTCTGCGTTGTCCTTAGCTCCTTTTTTTTTCTTTTAAAGATTTATTTATTTATTTATGTGAAAGGCTTTACAGAGAGGCAGAGGCAGAGAGAGAGAGAGAGAGACAGACAGACAGACAGACAGAGGTCTTCTGTCCACTGGTTCACTCCCTAAATGGCCATAGCAGCTGGAGCGGGCCAATTCAAAGCCAGGAGCCTCCCCTGGGTCTCCCACATGGGTGTAGGGGCCCAAGGATTTGGGCCATCTTCTACTGCTTTCCCAGGCCATAGCAGAGAGCTGGATCGGAAGAGGGGCAGCCAGGACTTGAACTGGTGCCCATATGGGATGCCAGCATTGCAGGTGGTGGCTTTACCCACTACGCCGCAGCACCGCCCCTGTCCTCCGTTCTTGCTTTGCCTCCCTCGTGGTACTGGCAGCTCCTTGAGAACAGGGACTTTATGTGTGTGCTCTCATTATGTTTCCAGTACCTAGTACCTAGAACAACACCCAGGCCCTGATGGGCTCTCAATGCATTTGTTGAGTGAATGAAGGAGTGAGCCTGAGACCCTAAGGACAAGCGTCGTTGGGTGGCCGGCCCAGAGCCCTTTAGCCCCTGTGACACACTCCTCCTTCTCCTTCATTTATTTATTTGAAAGGCAGGGTTGGGGGTGTAGAGAATCTTCCATCCTCTGGCTCACTCCCCAAATGGCTGCAACAGCTGGGGCTAGGCCAGGCTGAAGCCAGGAACCAGGAACTTCATCTGGGTCTCCCATGTGGGTGACAGGGACCCTGGCACTTGGGCCATCTTCTGCTGCTTTTCCAGGCACATTAGCAGAGAGCTGGATCAGAAATGGCGCAGACACAGCTTAAACTGGCACTCAGATGGCAAGATGGCATTCCAGTTTCACAGGCAGCAGCCTGACACACAGGGCCACCACTCTGGCCCCCAGTGTCACCTCCCTTTTCTGTCTTTTGTGGGAATCCATCCTGGGCTTGGTTTTGCCTCCGAGTTGCTGAGTATCCTGTTCGGGGCCGTGGCTTTGATGCTGACGTGGCAGGTGCACAGTGCAACAGCGACATAGAGCCTTGCCCAGTTCCTGGCGTGGAGAAGGCTCTGCGTGGTGGATGAGGATCCCACCTCTACCTGCCGGAGAGGGAAAGCTCTGCACTGGGGGGCCAAGCGTGGGCCCAGGGCTGAGAGCAGGAGCCGGGGGATGCAGAGCCCCGCCGGCCACCCCAGCACTGGGCTGTCATCCTTCCGTGGGCTGCGCTGCAGCCGATGCCAAGGGCGGCCTGGCCCAGAGGCAGAGGCACGGCTCACCTGCGCCGGGAGCTGTCTGTGGGGGCTGGGTCTCATGGACTGTGGCCCAGGCACACGCAGACCCGGCCTTTCTCCTCTCTTGGGAGAATGGTGTCAGTAGCAGCCCAGCCTTGCCTACCCTCTAGCTTATAAGACAGAGCTCCACAGTAGTAAGCTGTGTGCCTCTTCGCTGTCTAGGATGCAGGCTGAGGCTGTGGGCTACGACATTTTGCCCGGCCTGGGACCCCCAGAAGAAGGGTGGTGGCCTCCCTGTCCCTGGGTGCCTTCTGCAGGCTGAGCCTGGAGCCCTGTGTGGGGAGCAGCCCGGACTGGACTGAGTTACTGGAATTAAGACTTATTCTATGCATCTGCTCTCCCACAATATGGCGCTGGGAGAGAAGTAAACAGCTTCCGCACAGCTGCCTCCAGTTCAACCAATAAACTGTAGGACTTGCTCCTGATTGGAGAGCAGCGTACTCGGCGTGTGGGCAGCCGAGTTGGGATTGGCGGAGGAGGACTATAAAGGAGGAGAGAGACGGCATGCACCAGGAACATCTAAGGGGAACATCTAGCTGAAGGAACACCTGTGCAGCCCCCCAGAGAGCCGGCCGGCGGTGTGCCGCTCCCCTGCGGAAGTGGGGAATGTGGCCAGGGGGAACTGCCCTTCCACGGAGGTGGAAGGGATAGTAGCCAACCCGGGAAGAACCAGCAGCAAACCCGGGGAGGGCCGAGCAGACAAAAGAACAGCGCAGGGTCCTGTGTCGTTCCTCCACGAAGAGGGGGAGTGACACCCTGTCTCTCTGTGGGTCTGCCACCACTGCCACTTGCTTTCTCAGGCCATTCATCACAACTGGTGCCAACAGGTCAAGTTCATTCCCGAGTTGAACGTAGTGGTCTCCTGTTCAGCCATCGATAGGTCTTCTCTGGTGCTGTCCATATTGCCAGCCAAAGCCTCGGAGAAGCCCAGGTACGGGCTGGTGGGTGGAGGGAGGCGAATGGTGAGTTACCGTGGGTGGGTCTGGCCTGTGCTCATCCCTGCCGAGAGGACCCCTGGAAGGTCAGTGTCCTCCCCGGTGGCCAGTGCAGTGTCTTGCAGTTTGTGTGAGGTCCTGGGAAGCAGTGAGTGGGCAGTGCTTAGAGCACAGGTCTGGACCTTGTTGTTTTCATTTTAAAGATTTATGTACATGAAAGGCAGAGAGAGAGAGAGAGAGAGAGAGAGGGGAGAGAGGGGAGAAAGGGGAGAGAGGAGAGAGCACTTCTATGTGCTGCTTCACTCCTCAAATAGTAGCCTGGGCTGGGCCATGCCAAAACCAGGAATGTGGCACACAGGTGGCAGGGGACAAGCACTTGGGCCATCTTCTGCCTTCCCAGGTACATTAGCAGGACACTGGATGAGAAGCGGCTCAGCCGGGACTCAAACAAGTGCTCTGATATGGGCTGTTGGTATCACAGCAGCTTAGCCTGCTGCACCCGACACTGGCCCCTGGGGCTGGGTTTTAAGATCATTCCAGCATTGCCACCAGCAGCACGGATGTCACAGGCCTCTTGGACCTCCCCTTTTATATGCAAAACTCAGCATAGAAGCTAAGCAGGCAGGTCAAGAAATGTTGCTGAATGAAGCAATAGATATGAGTCCGTTCTCTTCCATGAGCCTCAGTCTCCCCATCTGTGAAATGGGTGACGACAGCGGTTCGTGCTCCTCGAGATGACTCAAGGGAGCACCCTATGTGATGCGTGTAGATTCTGTGTGGCATCAGCTCTTTGTGGATGTTCCGTTCGGCTGCCTTTGTTCTAGAGTCTGCTCCAGAGGGAGTTTTCCCCTCTTTTCTTAAAAATAAAATAAAATAAAAAAAAATCCGCCATTAGTCATGCAAGTGTGTATTAAGTGCATTGTCTGTGTAGAATGAAGACACCATAAATAGGGTTGGCCTACTGTGGGCTCCTCCTCCCACCCAGTCCCCGTTGTCTCTCTCACCCTGTTACCGGAAGCCCCCCTCCCCTTATCTGAGTGCGGCAGGGGCCTCCTGGGGTCTCTCTGCTGGGCGCCCGTTGCTTCCAGTTTCCCTCCTGGCCCAAGTCTCCCCCAAGCCTGGGGGCCCACGGCAGCTTCTGTGCAGGCTGAGTGCTGAGTGCACGTCGCAGCACGTCTTCTTGGGAGTGCAGCAGACTGGAGGCGCTGCTGGGGAGCAGCTGGGTGAGGCACCGAGGGCCCTGGGATCCTGTCGGCTTCCCTCCTGGGCCTGGTCACTCAGCCCTGGGCTGCCAGCGCTGCTTTGCATTCGTTTCCCGGGCTGTGGAGGGCGGGGGCGCGCTGTCTCCCAGCACACTCCCGAGCCGGGCTGTGCTGGGCCCGGACGGTCCAGAGGGACTGTGGGCGTGATGGCTGCAGCCTTGCCTTCTGCGTGGACTTTGCCTAGGCCTGGTTTGCTGAGGTCGCGTCTGGGTGGTATGGTGTGACCTCACATCTGTGGCGTGGGTTTCACTCTGCTGCTTGTCTCCTTGGTTCCCAGTGCTGGAGGGTGTGGGGGATCACCTCGCCGTGCTCCGAGGGCCCCTGTGGTTGGCTCTGCTGCCTTCCTCATCCCGCCCCTGCCTCCTTCTCCCTGCAGCTCCTGCCCCAGGGCCTTTGCTCCTCTCTACCTGCTATGCTCTGTTTTTTGTTTGTTTGTTTGTTTTTTAATCTTTTATGAAAACTTCAAGTACACAAAAATTATAAAATAGCATATTTCTTCAACACCACTTGGGTACTTGGTGGTGTTAGAGTGCCCCACCCAAGCTGCTGTTTCCAGTGTCTCCTAGCGTATTCTCGCGGGATTTGGAAGGGATGTGAGCATGGTTCCAGGGTGGTTTTGCAGGAATGGTGGAGTCTGACTTGCGTGTCACAGTAGACTGTGCCTGCAGGCAGCAACGATGGGACATAGCGAGGAAACCATCGCTGTAACCCAGGTGGCACGATGGCTTCTTGGAGCTGGCCCGTGGGGTGAGATGCAGGGGCTGGAAAGTGTTTTCATGCCACACCCACACCTTTTCCTTCCTACCTGTATGCAGTACAGCACACTGGCCAGCAGGTGGCACCATCCACCGCTTGCTGGGCTCCTGCTCTGGTAGATGCTGTTCTGAGAGGTGGCCATTGCCACCCACACTCGGCCTCTGGAGTTGCCGTCAGACTCCCAGGCAGGGTGGACCTGAGGGTCTGTTACTCTGCAGCTGGCCTCACCTGAGTTCTCCCAGTGGTTGGAGCCCGGATGAATCGAGCTGTGGAGCAGGGCTGGGGATGGCTCCAGCCAATGAGGGTGGGTGGGCTGACCCGCCACGCCTCCCCCACCTCCTCTCCTCTCACTTCTCCCAAAGACTGCTGGCGGTGGCCTGCCTGGCACCCTTGCTCTGTCCCCCCCGTCCGCCTTCCCTGCACAGCCCTGCTGCAGCGCTGATCTGGCTGGAGCCGTGTGGAGCCTTCAGGGCCAGGGCCACATCCTCCCCTGCCTCCCTCCTTGCCCCCCTCCCCAAGTTCTTCCCGTGGGGGCTGCTTTCTGCGCCTTCGGGTCTCTGCTTCCCTGCCCCCTGCTCAGGGAGGCTGTCGGAGCTGGGCTCCAGGCCTCTCCTGTCGAAGCCCCTGTCTGTGCCCCCCGCGGGACTTGCGCCATCCATCAGGGACCCTCTCCCGGTCTCTGCCCTTGCATGCTCCTCCTATTTCCAGACTCTAGGGGCAGGCGCTGTGTCTGTACCGTAACGGAGACCCTGCCGGGGTCAGCCCAAAGTAATGCCACCCACGTTCTGTGACCATTCTTCCAGAATGTTTCTCTGCGCACAGTGTGGTGAGGGGTGTGTCTGCTCTCACAGTACCCAGCCTTCGACTCTTGACGCTTTGAGTCCTTGAGGGATTCTTGGGGCTTAGAGTGGAGAGAAGCTGGGGGAGAGTGAGACGAGATGGGAACCCAGCGGGAGGCTGCCATGGACATGAAGGGGCCTGGACCAGCAGAGCCCATGGCTGTGCTGGGAGGTTGGCAGAGGTGGACTCGGGGCCCCTCTGGGTAGTGGAAGCCATGTACAGGGCGACCTGGGTGTGCTGTTGGAGGACGCTCTGCGTTAGAGGGTGGGGCCTGATTCCAAGTGGCCATGAACTGAGCTGTAGAGGCGAGAGGCGCAGGAGCCGTGGGCAGGCTGCTGTGGTGCGGGAGACAGCTGTGCAGAGCTGCAGACCCTGCCCGTCTGGACCGCCTGCCTCGGTCGCCCTGGCTGTTTCTTGTAGTGTCCGTGTCCCAGTTCAGGCTGATGGTCCTCCTCAGGGGCGCCCAGATGACCCACAGGGTGGCTCTGGGCACAGACAGCAATAGCAAGGACACGGCACTCGCTGGCCCTGGGGGCCTCCCTTTGGGTCGGTTGGTGTCATGGTGGAAGACATCTGTCCTGGGACGGTTGAAGTGGAAATCAGGTGAACTTGCCCTTGGAACGAAGCCCGGTGCTTTACAAACTGGGGAGTAGGGTGTGTGCCGCTGGGGGCTGGCTTCCCCTGGAAGGTGGGTGTCCCTGCAGACTGAGCCCTGGGTGCCCCTCCCCGGTGGAGAGCTAGTGACTTTCCTGCCAGCAGCCCCTCCCTGCCAGGCGCTGCTCTGGCCTTGCAGCCCTGCCCTTCGGTGTCGTAGGTTGTCGATGCTGAATCTAAGGAAAGGAATTCTTTGCTTTGATTACTGCCCAGACAAGAACTTCCTGGGTAAGTCATCTTCCTGCCCCCCAGGCTGCTGGCCCAGCACGGCTGGGCTCCGGGGCCGTCGGCAGCATCTGGCTGCCCTGCGCATGCTCCCACTCCTGGGCACCAGGGGAGGAGTGATGACACAGCCTCCGCACCGCTGGTGATGGAGGGGCGGGGGGAGGGACAGGGAGGTGGGTCACAGGGTTGCCCCCACTCCCTCCCCACCAGCCTGGCTGGGACCGTGGCCTAGCCCTGGAAGAGTCTCCAGTGTAGGCTCCAGGTGGCTGATGCCCAGTTGTCAACCCCAGTGACAGGTGGCTATGACCCCAACATCCGCCTGTGGAACCCCTTTGTCTCACAAAAGCCTGTGTGGCTGATGAAGGGACACCAGACCTCTGTGACGCACGTCATGGTGAGCAGCAAGAGCAGCAGCATCCTCATCAGCATCTCCAAGGACAAGGTGCCACCTCAGGGCGCGCCCCACCGCCCCGCCCGGGGACACCGTAGGATCCCTGCTGGGGGAGGCTGCGGCCCGGAGGGACAGGTGCCCGCCTGCGACCATCTCATGGGCCTGGTGGGAGTGCCCAGGGTTCACCACGGAGGCCTGAGCCTGGATTTTTTTTTTTTTTAAAGGGTTACTGTTCATTTCTTTGAAAGATGGAGCATGGGGGAGAGGGGAAGAGAGAGAGAGTGGCAGGGACCTTCCATCTGCTGGTTCACGTCCCAGATGGCCACAATGGCCAGGGCTAGGCCAGGCTGAAGCCAGGAGCCTGAAACTCCATCTGGATCTCCCACATTGGTGGCAGGGGCCCACGTACTTGGAGCATTCTCTTCTGCATTCCCAGGCACATTAGCAGGAAGCTGGATTGGAAGTGGAGTAGCTGGGACTTGAACCAGCACTCCAGTATGGGATATTGTATCAAAAGCAGCAGCTTCACCTGCTGTGCCGTGGTGCCAGCACCCCAATCCCAGTCCTGAGCAGGCCGCCAGAGTGGGCCCCTGCAGTCCAGTCCAGCTTCTTGCTCTGTGGCCTTGGCAAGTCCCTTTCCCTTTCTGAGCCTCAGTCTCCACCTGTAGCGTGGGTTGTCGAGTGCTTTAGAGGAGAACGGATGGTACAGTGCAGCGCCTGGCCCTGAGGTGTGCCGTACGCATGCGCACGCTCTGCCCTCGCCGCTCAGCTGCCCTGCGCGCTGGGGCCTGGCTGGGTCTTTCTCAGATGCCTGGGCTCCCCTACTTGGGGCCCCATCACCTTGCAGCCATGCACCTGTTGGTTCTGGATTCTGCCCGGTGCCTCCTGGCCAGTGTGGGGATGCAGGCCAACAGCTCCAGGTGCCCTCCTGCAGGGGACAAGTTGGCGGTCTCTGGAACTCAGTAGGTGGAGAATTGTCAGGGGCTTTGGGGGCCCCCTGAGCTGCCCTGCCCCGCATATCTTTGCCTATGCTGTGCTCCTGGGAGTTGCTGTCTTTGCCTCTGATGCAGGCTCTGAGGCTGGGCACTGGGAAACAGGGCCAGGCTTGCTGCAGTCCTCAGGAGGCAGCCTGGGTCTGTTTGAGCCTGAGTTTGCACCCTTCCTGGCTTGCTGGGGCTGCCTCTAGGCAATGCAGGTCTTGGAGCAGCTTCTGGGGCCTCTCCAGGGAAGTACTCAGGACCACTCCTCTCCGGCCATCCCAGGCTGGCTTTCCCTGGGCGAGATTGGAGTCTTGGCACAGAAGGGGCAGGGCCCACGCTGCCTTGCTGCGCCTTCACCCTCGGCTGTGAAGTCAGCTGCTCCGGCAGGCAGAGGCCCTGACACGCTCTGCCCTCACTCGCTGAGGGCCTGGGCCACCTGAGCCTCTCTGGCAGGGCTGTGATGGCGGCAGGTGCTGCCGCAGGGGGTGTGTGTTGCAAGTTCCGGGACGTGTATCCTGGCCCTGCTCGCGGGGGCACTGCACAGCCTCGGGCCAGCCGCACCCCCAGGACCCACCTGGGCCTCTTTGTGTGGTTCCTGTCCCCAGAACGTCCGTGTGTGGGACATGCAGGACTATATTTGCCTCCAGTCCTTCTGTGGGAAGCTGTTCGCCCTGGGGAACTGCCCCATCACCAGCGCCTACTTCCACAGCGAGGCCGGGGCCCTCGTCTGCAGCACCTTCTCAGTGAGTGCAGCTCTGGGGCGGTGGCTCGGTGGCCGGGCCCCAGGGAGGTGGCAGGCTGTCCCTCCTGGCCGCACTCCGGCCTGGCCTCGCGCCTGCCTGTCCTGTCTGCTGTGTCCCTCTGCTCTCCGCTGTCTCCCCACCTGGCTTTCCTTTGGCCTCTCCCTCCGGCAGCCCACCTGGGCAGCCTCTCTGAAGGGCAGCCAGCCACATGCACACCATCTCTAGGACAGGACAGAGTAGATAAGCCCGAGGTCTGCGCCTGTGCCGGGCTGCAGGGTGACCCACAGCCAGGGGGCAGGAGGTTGTGTGTGGAGAGGCGAAGCTGTGTCATCTGAGGTTGAGCTCTGCAGGCTGTGTGCTTCCTCCATCCAGGCCACCTGCAGGGATGCACCCGTGCTCCTGTGCACTCGCTGTCTCCCCAGACTGCAGGTTTCTGCGAGGAGGCTTGTGGCTTCCTGCGTCTCCTGTTGAGTACCTGACTGGCTACCAGTGTTTGTTGAATGAGACATAGCCTTTTTTTTTTTTTTTTTTGCCAGGCAGAGTTAGACAGTGAGAGAGAGAGACAGAGAGTTATAGACAGTGAGAGACAGAGAGAAAGGTCTTCCTTCCATTGGTTCACTCCCTAATGGCCGCTACAGCCGGTGCTGTGCTGATCCGAAGCCAGAAGCTGGGTACTTCGTCCTGGTCTCCCATGTGGGTGCAGGGACCCAAGCACTTGGGCCATCCTCTGCTGCCCTGCTGGGCCACAGCAGAAAGCTGGATTGGAAGAGGAGCAACCGGGACTAGTACCCGGCACCCCAACTGGGACTAGAACCCTGGGTGCCGGTGCCGCAGGTGGAGGATTAGCCAAGTGAGCCATGGCGCCAGCCCGAAACATAGAACTTTGAAGTTCATTATCACCTCCCTGCTCTTTGTCAGGCGCTGAGACTATATAAAGAAGACCCTGCCCCATCTCTCGAGAGGTTTATAGGATACAAGAAAGAGAATTTCAGGGGAAAGTGTTGGGTGATGAGAGATTCATACGCCAAGCATTTCACGGAGCACAAAGAAATCCTTAGCCTAGCCTAGGGCAGGCGTAGTCAGGGAAGGCTTCCTGGAGGGAACGCCTGATTGAGGGCTCTCGGAAGTTACAGGATGAGAGGGACCTTGCACTTGGCCTTTGGGGTTCTAGGGACACGAGGGTTTGGGAGCCCAGTGCTACATAGAGCAGGGGAGAGAGTACACGCGGGCTTGCTGGCTCAGGCCTCCGTGGGCTGAGGTGTGTGTGGGTCTTCATTTATTGCAAGTTCTTCCTTGGAGCCCGTCACTGGGGGGCCTCAGTCACTGAACCAGAACCCTTCAGACTGGATGCGTCTGCCTCTTTGCCCACCTACAGATTGGGATCCTCAAAGGGTACTCGGAGGCCCAGGGGCCTGTGAAAGCAGGGAAGATCACAACTCACAGCGCGCCCCTGTGTGCTGTCCTCTACAGCAAGATCTTTAAGCAGGTGGGTGGCTCTCAGGCCAGCAAGAGTGGTGGGGTGGGGACCGCCCTGCGGGCCTGGGTCTGCAGCTAAGCAGCAGTGAGCTCCCATGACATGGCTGGGAGCTCAGTGGTGCAGGGCAGCGGGATGCAGGCAGGAAGCGGGGGGTGGGGTGGGGTCTGCACACAGCAGGAGGTCAGGCCCTGGTTGCTGGGGCACCCAACGTCCCTGGGCAGTTCCGCAGTTGCGCACAGGCAGGCAGCTCGCTTGACTCTCTGTCTGTCTGTCTCTCTTGCTTTTATCTTTTTAAAGATTTATTTATTTGAGAGGCAGATTTATAGACAGAGAGAGGAAGAGACAGAGAGAAAGGTCTTCCATTCGCTGATTCACTCCCCAAATGGCCACAATGGCTGGGGATACGATCTGAAGCCAGGAGCCAGGAGCTGCTTCTGGGTTTCCCACGTGGATGCAGGGGCCCAAGGATTTGGGCCATCTTCTACTGCTCTCCTAGGCCATAGCAGAGAGCTATATTGGAAGAGGAGCAGCTGAGACTCGAACCAGCGCCCATATGGGAGGCCGGCACTGCAGGCAGAAGCTTAACCTACTATGCCACAGTGCTGTCCCCAGGAACCCTCCTAACGTGGGGTGGAATGCTAGCTGTGGGTCTCCCCAAGATTCCCCAGGGGCCGCTGTTCTGGAGCCCTGCTTTCCAGGGGAGCCATTGCTTGGCCTCGTTCCCTGTGGGAAGGGCGGGAGCACCTGGGCCCGAGCAGAGCCTCCCGTGTTGGGCAGAGCAGCTGCGCGCGTGGAACTGTTTCTGTGCAGTGGGAGCAGGGGCACTGCCAGGGCCCGCCTCCTGCTCGAGGGGCCTGTGGTCAGGCCGCGGGCCGGACAGGCTGCCTTGGGTGGGAGCTCACCGCCGGCCTGCTTTCCCCTCCCGGCTGCTGCCTCCACCCCTCACTGCCTTCCTGCAGCTTGGCGTCACTTTGTTTGGCTTTTCCTTTGAAGTTTCCCCAGCTCTCCTAGGTGTTTTCAGTAGGGAGCATGGGTCTGCCCCGCGCATTATAATTCCCCTGCTCAGGCGGCACTTGGTTTATTTCTGGCTTGTTTTTGTTTCTGTGTTGTCATCATTAAGAAGTCTTTTCTGAATTAGGAATCATTTTCTCTGGGAGGATTCTGATAAGTGCCGTCTCTGAGTTAACAGGGACTCTGCCAGACCGATTCTTGCTAAAAGCAGAGCCAGCTCTGAGTCTGCCAGAACTCAGCAGAGGAAGCCTGCTGCAGGGGGGCGCACGCTGCCGCAGGCCGGGGGCAGCCCTGGGCAGGGAGGCCCCGGCCCCTCCGCAGCCCTCAGTGCCGTGCTCCCCGGCAGGTGGTGAGCGGCTGCCTGCATGGCACCGTGAACGTGTGGGAGATCACCACGGGCAGGAAGATGGTGGAGTTCTCTGTGTCTGGGGACCAGCAAGTGGAGCTGACTGCCATGGCCCTGGACGAGTCGGAGCGCTGCCTGCTCACGGGCTTGCGAGAGGGCACCATGCAGATGTGGAACTACAACAGCGGCGAGTGCCTGCTGACCTTCCCCAACCCCGACCAGCTGGAGGTCAGTCTGAGAAGCCACGCACGGCTCCTGTGGCTCTGGGACACATTGCTTGTTTCTTAGTTTTCATTTTATTTGAAAGGCAGAGAGAGATGGATTTCCCATCCATTGATTCACTCCTCCAATGCCCACAACAGCTGGAGCCCGGAATCGAGTCCGTCCCGTGGGTGGTGGGGCTGCTGAAAGGCTGTCCACGTGGCAGGCGGCACCGGCCTCAGACCTCCCCGAGCCTTGTGTGTCTCCGTGCGGACAGTGAAGGGGGCAGCCCTGGCCTTAATGAGGCTCACAGTGTGACTGCTGCTCTTCCTGCTGTCAGCACCTCGTGTCCCACAGGTTGGAGCTGTGGGTTGCATTTCTAGCAGCAGGGGCAGGGGACTCAGAGCCACCCGTGCTCACCCCGACTTGGGAAATGCCCAAGAGGATTATGGGAATATTCTGTGGGGGTGATGTAGAGAAAGAGCAGCAGTTCCACTTTGGGGCTTGAGCCCACAGCCTTAGCCCCTGGGACGCGGTTTGGGTACCCCTGGCTCAGAGCTTGTCACCTGGCAGTTACGTGGCCTGAGCCGATCACTGGTCTGCTTCCCAGCGATCCCCTCTGTGAGACACACACGGACCCCTAACCTGTCTCCTCCTATAAGTTCAGCCCACCTGCTGGTCCGAGTGCACTGGCTTGGGTGGTGGGACCGTAGAGGGGTGTGAGGCGGGGGCGGGGCCAGCTCACGGAAGCTGGAGGAGGCTCACGGAGGCTCGTCACGACAGAGGGTCTTGGCGTCTTGCCTCGTGCGCTTGGGAAGGCACTGGAAGCCCAGATCCGCGCTCTCTGAGGGGCTTGAGAGTTCGGTTTTCTCTCCTCCCCACCAGATTAGTGGAATCATCCACATGAACAAAACCTACTACATGACAGGCTGGACTAAGAGAATCACTAACTTCACGTGAGTTGTGGGCACGCGTGGTGTGTAGGCAAGGGCAGCTGGCCATGCTCGGCCGCGCTCCTCCAGTGGGTCCTCCCTGCCCTGCTTTCCCGGGGGGTGGGACTCCAGGTGGGGAACTCGCGGTGGTTACTGGCCGTGGCTTCACCTGCTCCTCCATTACTGAGGTGCCTGCGTCCTGGGCTCAGTGCTGGGCTGAGGGTGCGTATGAGCAAGAATGACAGTCTCCGTCTTCCCGGAGCGTCTGTCCAGTGGCTGGAATAGAGCGTTGCAGAGTGGGTGATGTAGAAACCATAGACATTTATTGTTCACAGCACTGGGGGCCAAGAAGTTCAAGATCAAGGTGTCAACAAATCTGGTGTTTGATGAGGGCCTGCTTCCTGGCTCACGGCTGGCGTTCTTGCTGTATTCTCACATGGTGGAAGGGGTGGGGCATCACACTGGGGCCTCTCTATAAGGGCACTGATCCCATTCACAAGGGCTCTGCCCTGTGACCTCATCTCTTCCCAGAGGCTCCGCCTCCAGGTGGCCTCACGTTGCAGGTTATTACAATCCATGTAAGACTTTGGGGAGAATACAGAAGCCAGTCGTAGAAATGCCCGTCCTTCTCACACGCAAGAATACCCGTTCGATCCTGATAGCACCACGAGCCATCACTTGCTCCAGCATCGGCTCTAAAGCCTAAGTCCAAAGTCTCACCTGCGTATCACCACGATTAGATATGGGCGAGACTCAGGGCACTGTGAGACAAATCCCTTGGCAGCCGTGAACTGTGAGGAGTACGGTGGTGGGACAGCCGTCGGGGAGACAGACGGGAGAGACAGGAAGAGAGAAAGGAGTGACAGGTCCTGAGCAAGCCCAGAATCCCTCAGGGCAAATTCCATTATTCCTGGAGACTTGAGGATGGTCCTCTGGCTGGGGTGGAGGGCCTGCCTTCGCGATCCACTGGGGCCATGAGCCGGGCTGGGGCTGGGACCGCAGGGCTCTGGGTGGCCCTGCTCCCGTGGTGGCTGCGTGGCTTGGCCCCACGCCTGTTTCTGTGGCTGTCTCCCTGGGACCATGGCTCTGCAGGAGGCCTTGTCCTTTGAGATCTGGGTGGTGGAGGCAGTGGATCTCTGTCAAAGGGGTGCTTGGCCACACCTGTCACGTTTTCTCCTGAATGGTTTTCTCATTCCCTTCAGACACACAGGTGGGCACTTTTCCTAAGTCTTTATGTCTGCTTCCTTTTTGATTGGCAATTTGTTCTTTTTAGAAAATATTTTTTTTTTAAAAAAATATTGATTTGAGAAACCAAGGCAGAGAGAGAGAGAGAGGGAGGGAAGGAGGGAGGGAAGGAGGAAGGGGAGAGAGATAGAAAGAAAGAATTCCCTTGACTTAGTTAACTTCCCAAATGCTGCAATGGCTGGGGTTGGGCCAGGGCCAAAGTCAGGAGCTGAAGCGCCAGGTAGTTCGTTCTGCCTGCTGCCGCCTACTGGCCTGCTGGAACACAGACACGAGCCATCCAAGTCCTCTGTCACTTTACGGCGGCCTTGCCTCCGGCTCCCAGTCCACGTGCCTCGGTGGCGTCTGAGACTGATCACGTGGGCCTTCCCGTCCGCAGTCTGTCAGCATTGTGCTCAGGGTCACTCGGGTGCCGCTGCGAGGAGGCTTTCTGGACGCCGCTGCCCCCCGGGCCCTCACTGGAGTCGCCGTTGGCGGGCCATGCAGGGCCGTGCTGGCTTTTTCTGGCACGCCTCTCAGAACTCTGTTAGCCAGCGCCACAGCTGCTTCTGCCAGGTCTGCAGAGTCCGTGTGACAGCTGGGCCGTGCTCCTGGTCACTCACTGCCAGTGCAGAATACAGGGGCTGGGTGGCGGATAAGCAACAGACGTCTCTCGCGGCTCTGGAGGCTGGGAAGGGGCGGGTCAGCGCTGGCAGGTGTGGTTCGGGGATGGCCGTGTCTTCGCCGTAACCTGCCGTGGTCAAAGGGGCAGGAGACCTCTCTGATCCCAAGTGTGAGGGCTCTGATGGCACAACACCTTCCTCCCAGGCCCCCTCCAACTTCTCTGCCCCCGAGGACCGGTTCCGATGTGTGAATTGGGGGGTGGGGGTGGGGGGACGCGGACTTTGAGTGCCTCAGCAGGCAGATGGTAATCGGTCATTTAGTTCAGAATTAGAAAATGTGTCGAGTGCGGTGAAAGCAGGTGAAGGCCCCTATGGGACGTGGGGGGAGCCCGACTTCCGCTGGTGTGGAGGGGAAGGGGGGCAAGGCGCCATCTGCTCTGCGGGCCTTTGTGGGGCCCTGATTTTCCTGCTAAACCTTAACCCTAACCCAGGCGCCTGGAGCGGGAGAGTAGAATTCATCTGTAGGGCCGGTTTGTGTAAAGACCGCCGGACAGGCGCGAGTCCCTGGGTTCGTGAGGCCCCAGCACTGCGAGGCAGCCCCTGCGGTGGCGAGGCCGAGCGCTCAGGCCTCAGCCCTGGCCGTGTTCACAGGTTCCACAAAACCAAGCCAGTGCTGCTGACCTCGCAGTGGCAGGCCTTCCACACCGAGGACGTCCTGAGCATGGCCAAGTACCAGAACCAGTTCCTCGGGACCTCCTCCTACAATGGGGACGTCCTCTTCTGGAACGTCAGCATGTTCAAGCCCATCCTCAACTTCAACGCCTCCGAGAGCCCCTTGCCCTTACAGCCCAAGAAGGTGTGGTCCGTGGAGCATGCCTCCCTCCACCTGCTCCCCGTGGTGGGCCCGTCGTGTGGGCACGGGGCTGGGGAGTGTCCTGGGGAGTAGAGGGGGTGGTCGTGACTTGTTCTGGAGGGCTTGGGAGCTAAGCAGATGTGTGGTAATTTTCGGGATTCTCTTCATCTGACAGATGTGGAAACAGGCACAGAGAGGTTAAGCACCTTGATTAAGGTCACACAGCCAAGAAGGGTAGATCCGAACCCTGCCAGTCAGGCTCCAGAGCCTGGTGGGGCAAGCCTGTCCTCTTTCTTGGATGTCTTGCTCTTGATGGTGGCTCCCTTCTTGCCCGGGTGGCTGTTGGATGTCACTGGGCTCAGGGCAGGGGCTTGGGAAACCTGTGCCACCGTCTCTCAGTAGCCCTGTGTTGGAAGGGACCTTGGGGGTCACCTCATGCCACAGTTTCCCAGGTGTGTGGGGGGAGGAGTGCTTGGGGGTGGGGCTTCCCCCAGGCAGCTCAGCTTTCTGTTTTTCACTGTGGATTTCCAGTAAGGTCAGACCCTAGGAATAGCTGGAAGCTACTTCGCATTGCACAGATGAGGAAACAGTTTCTCACAGGAGCAGTGCCCCCTCTGAGAGTCCTGAGGGCACGAGTGGTTGCCCAGGGATGGGGTTGTTAGCTCTGGTCTGGGGTCTGTCGGGGAGGGAGGTTTCTGGGAAGAAGTTCTCGGGCAGCTGGAGGCCCCTGGTGCTAGCTTGGGACTGGACAGGTCTGGTGTTTCCCCTAGGACTCTGTAACGGCGTAGGGGCTGCTCTCTCCCTGGTACAGGTACGGGAAGTGGGCAGCTTCCTGGCTGAGGGCCGCAGGCCCAACAAATCCTACATGGAGGAGATGTGGGCACACAAGACCCCCAGAAAGCTCCCCGGCCCTAGCACCAAGACCCCGGCCGGGGCCGGCCTGAAGCTGAACCTGAAGTCGGCTCCCCCAGTACTGAAGCACTTGAAAGACAAGGAGTCGGACAAGCCTGTGCTCCAGCAGGTGGGAGCAGGGGTCTGCTTGTGGGGGTGCGCTTTTCCCGGAGCGCCGTTAGCGTCATCCGCTCCCTTGCGGGGGTGTGCTGGGCCAGGCGGGGGCCTCCCTGTTTTCACCCCACTGCATCGTGTGCTCTGTGCTGCTCAGGCCTGGCCGCCGTGGCTTCCCGGCCCGCAGGCAATCCCCGGCTTGCAAGTCTGAAAGCTAAAGGCAAGACTGCAAGGGAGCATGCCCCAGAACTGAAAACCGGACATGAGTTCCTGGGCCACTTTCCCAGCCTAAAGCTCAAGGCCCTGGCCCTGGCCCTGGCCCGGGTGTGGCGGTGAGCAGGGGGACCTGCAGCCTTCCCCAGACGCAAGCCTTACCTCCTTGGAGACCAGGCCGCAAAGGCCTTGGCTCAGCCCTACTCCCTGCCCCAGGATTCCGCCTTCCAGGAATGACTGACAGCCCACTTTTGGGGAGAACAGGGAGAAAGAGAAGGAGGAGCTGTCCCTTCGTACGCACAGGGGCTGGCTGGGCAGGCCTCAGGCTCCCAGCAGTGAGGTGGGGACCGCAGTCTGGTTCCCCGTGCCTGGAGCTGAGGCTGGGCAGTGACGGCCTCACTCCCGTGTGAGCTGCCAGGCTGTCGTTCTCTCTACGTCAGCTCTAGACAGCCACCCGGTCTTTGAAGTAGCAGGGTTGTGCCCTGCATTCGGATTTTCAGAGTGAGGGGATACACGCCCCCCAGCCTCCTAGTCACTTTTAGGGCAAGTCTCGGCCCCGAATAGCTGCTCACGAGGAGGGGAGTCCCTAGCATCAGCATGTCCAGAGGCCCAGCGCCCACTCGGTTCTGTGCCGGCCTCCACAGGGCGCGGGGGCCGGGAGGGGCTGCTCCTTTCCTCTCATCTCTGTCCCCACAGAGAAGGGGGCACACTCAGGGTGACCTGGAAGACCCATTGCTCTCTGCAGGCCTCTTTCAGCGCCGGCAGGACCGGGCTGACATCCAAGTTGCGTGGCAAACAGTCCGTTTACAAAGAGGCCGAGAAGAAAAGAGGGGAGTTCCAGCGGAAGAAGTTGCTGCAGTCCAACGCGTCGGTGGAGAAGGTTGGGAAGCAGGGGCGTGCGCCTGCCTCTCCCCGGGCCTGGGCAGGCGGCGTGCAGAGGGTGGTGCGGTTTAGCATCTGGAGTTAGGGCTGCTGGGTCTGGGCGGAGTTCCTGTGTAGCAGGGTTGGATGTGTCCAAGGGGGTGAGCAGCGCTCCTTCCTGGGGCAGTGTGGGGGCAGGGTGCTGGATTGGGAGGCAGGACAGTGGCATTTCCAGAATCTACTGTTAGAGTGCCCTCCTGCTTTGTGTGGCTTGTGGGTGGGGTCAGTTTATCTTTTCAACTCTTCCTCCTGTGCCTTTCCTTTTCTGTCCTGGATGCTCCTCGTTGTGATGCTTAAGCCCCTCCTGAAAACACAAACCCCTGTTGTGGCAGGGTGTGGCAGGCTCGCCCCACCACCCCGCTCCAGGCATGCGCCTCAGAGCCGGTCCTGCGTGCTGGGGAGGGGCTCACAGCGTCTCCTCCAGCTCCCGAATGCTCTGCCTCCTAAGTAATGCCTTAGGGTGGACGTTGTGGCTCAGGGGGTTAAGCTGCCGCATGGGTGGCCTGCACCCCATATCGGAGCATCAGGGATTGAGGTCTGCCTCTGCTTCCGATCCACCTTCCTGCTAGTGCTCCTGGAGGGCAGCAGATGGTGGCTCAAGTACTTGGGAGACCCAGATGGAGTTCTGGGCACCTGGCTTCTGCCTGGCTTTTGGGAATGAAACAACAGATGGAAGATATCTTCCTCTCTATCCTTCTTTCAAATGAATGGGTGGATGAATGAATCGTTAAAAAACATTAAAAACTAAAAAATACCTTGACAACATTTTAAAAGTAATGCCAGTTAACAGTGATTTTCTAAAAAGTATACGAAGAAAAAATAAAGGTTCTGCCATGTCTGGCTGCAGCCACCCTGCCCCTGCCAGCAACAGCAGCCTCGGCCAGCGGATTTTGTACTTTCCTGGACCAGTGAGGTGGAGCCTGGCTGCTCAGCACACGCACGGGTGCAGCTGTCACCACCGTGTGTCTCCGCCGCTCCTTTCAGCTCATGAACCTGAAAGCCTGGGCCTGCTAAACAGCGCTTCTCCATCCCCAGCCCCTGGCCACCACCGAGCTGCTTTCTGGCTCCGTAATTTTGGCGACTCCATCTCACATAAGTGGGGTCACGCAGTGTCACACTGTGTGCGTCTTTCTGAGATTGCTTTCTTTCACCCAGCATAATGTCCTTATTCATACTAGAGCTAGCTTATGTCAAACTTTCTTTCCTTTTTAGGGGTCAGTACTATTCCACGGCGTGTGTCCATCACATTTTGCTTATCCTTTCATCCACTGATAGACACTTGGGTTACTTCTTTTCTTCTTCTTCTTCTTCTTTTTTTAGAGATTTTATTTATTTATTTAATTGAAAGGTAGAGCCACAGACAGAAGGAGACAGAGACAAAGGTCTTTCGTCTGCTGATTCACTCCCCAGATGGCCACAACAGCTGGAGTTGTGCCGATCTGAAGTCAGAAGCCTTGAGCTTCTTCCAGGTCTCCCACATGGGTTTAGGGGTCCAGGGACTTGGGCCATCTTCCACTGCTTTCCCAGGCCATAGCAGAGAGCTGGATCGAGGTGGAGCAGCCAGGATTCAAACTGGCACCCATATGGGATACTGACACTACAGGCAGCAGCTTTACCTGCTATGCCACAGCACTGGTCCCTAGGGGGGCCCAAGGAGACTTGAACTGGCGCCCATATGGGATGCTGGTGCTACAGACTGGGGTTTATCCCACTGCACCACAGTACCAGCCCCATCCAACTGATTTTTAAAAAGATTTATTTATTTGAAAGGCAGAGTTAGAGAGAGAGAGAGCAAGCATTTCCACTTGCTGGTTCACTTCCCAAATGGTCAAAATGACAGTGGTGGGCTGGGCCAGGCTGAAGCCAGGAACATGGAACTCCATCCAGGTCTCCCACATGGATGCAGAGGCCAAGGACTTAGGCTGACTTCTGCTGCTTCCCCAGGTGCATTAGCAGGAAACTGGATTGGATGTGGAGCAGCTGGGACTTGAACCGGCACCCGGGACTCAAACCACTGGGCTGTATCACTGGCCCCACCACTAATTTTTGTATATTGACTTTATATCCTGCTATTCTGCTGAATCCATTTCTTGGCTCTAATCATATTTTTGGAAGAATCTTTAAAAGAGTTTTCCACATGTTAGACCATATTCTCTGCTAACAGATAATTTCACTTCTTCTTTTCCGACTTGGATGCCTTTTAGTCCTTTTTCTGGCAGTGCTCTGGCTAGACCCTTTAGTATTCTGTTGAATAAAAGTGGTGACAGAGGGTGGCCTTGTCTTGCTCTCTCTGATCTTAAAATGCTTTCAGTCTTGCACCACTGAGTATGATGTTTGCTGTGGGTTTCTCATATATGGCTTTTTTATTGAGTTGATGTAGTTTCCTTCAGTTCCTAGTTTGTTGAGTGTGTTTCGCATGAACTTGAGTTTTTGTCAAGGGCTGTTTCTGAATCGGTTGAGGTGATCATGTGAGTGTCCCCTTGTTACTGTGTGTGTGGTGAGCCATCTGCGTCCCAGGAGTGCATCCCTTGTGGGGTATGAGCCTTTTCTGTGCTGCTGAATTTAGTTTTCTGGCATTCGGGTGAGGAGTTTCACACCGGAGTTCACCAAGGCTGTTGGTCTGCAGTATTCCGCTCGTGTCTTTGGTTGTGCAGGATGAGGTAGGATTTGTTCCCTCCTCTTGAATTTGTTGGGGAAAGTTTTGAGAAGGAGTATTGTTAATTCTTTAAATATTTGGTAGAATTCAGAGGAGAAACCATTAGATCCGGGGCTTAAGGGACCCCTGGTTTGTGATCCCGGTCTGTATGACAGTAAGGATAGTTGAGACCGTTTAGTTACTTGGCGACATGTTTTGGAGACACTGTGAAGCTCCGCCTTGGCAGGTGTGAGGAAGCCTGCAAGCCTGATCTATTCTGCGCCCCTGACTGTTCTCAGCCTTGTGCAAGGTGCCAGCAGGGCGTTCTCTTCTGCTCTGCTCTATGCAACATGACTTCCCATTGTGGCCCTGTCCGTGGGCCACAGGAGCGACATATAAGGTAACCGTGAGAGAGGGAGAATAGCCAAGGGCACAGCCAAGGCAAGATTTGAACAGGAATTTGGTCCAGTCCAAACACTGTCCTGGCAGTCCAAACACTGTCCTAGAAAATAGGGGAATTTCGCTATAAATAGATGAGGATATGTAGGGGAGTCAGTCTGCAAATTGCTTTAATCTTAGAAAATTTTGTTTGAGCCTTAGGACAAATTGGCTTGTGTGCTTTCATCCATCAAGCGTGTACCATACATCAGGCACTGAGCATCTAAGAATATGGGGCCGGCACTGTGGCGTAGAGGTAAAGCCACTGCCTGCTCAGCCAGCATCCCATGTGGGTGCCAGTTCCGGTCCTGTTGGCTCTGCTTCTGACTAATGTGCCTGGGAGGGCAGCGGAGAATGGCCCAGGTATTTGGAGCCCTGCACCCACGTGGGAGACCTGGAAGAGGCTCCTGGCTCCTGGCTTCAAATCAGCCCAGTTCCAGCCACTGAGAGCCATTTAAGGGGTGAGCCAGTTGATGGAGGATCTCGCTCACTCTCTGTCTCTTTCTTTCTCTGTAATATCTCTCTCTCTCTCTCTCTCTCTCTCTTTCTAGATTTATTTACTTGAAAGTCAGAGTTACACAGAGAGAGGAGAGGCAGAGAGAGAAAGGTCTTCCTTCCACTGGTTCACTCCCCAGATGGCCACAATGGCTGGAGCTGCACCCATTGAAGCCAGGAGCTTCTTCCGGGTCTCCCACATGGGTGCAGAGGTCTAACGCCTTGGGCCATCTTCCACTGCTTTCCCAGGCCGTAGCAGGGAGCTGGCTAGGAAACGGAGCAGCTGGGACTCAAACCAACGCCCATATGGGAAGCCGGCACTGCAGGCAGCAGCTTTACCTACTATGCCACAGCACTGGCCCCAACCCTGCCTTTCAAATAAATAAATAAATATTTTTTAAAAAGAGAGTAAACAGAAAAGACAGAAATCCGTACCCTCAAGTGACTCATCATCCAGTATGAAGTTCCTTGTACCAGCCAGGCAGGAAGGATAACGTCACTGTCACCATTCCCACTGGGCACCTGGGAAACTGGGGGCCATGTGAGGGTGCCTCAGCAGTGTGCGGCGATGGCCAGGGTACCCACTGCCTCTCAGCCCTGTTGAACTGGACCCACCTCTCTCACACAGATCATCTTCCTGCAGACCAGGCCTCGCCTGCCACACACAGCTGCCTTGCTGAGCAGCTGCATGGATGGCTTCATCTACGCCTGGTCCATCCACGGCAACGGAGGCCTCCTGGGGAAGTTCCCCGTGGAGCTCAAAGACCACGAGGATGTCGTCGTGGGCGCCATGGCCACTGACGAAAATGACTGGATCCTCATCACGGGGGACTGTAAAGGAAGCATCAAGGTGAGGAAGAATCGGCACCCAGGGCCAGGGACTGGCGTCAGCCTCCCTGTCCCCATGGCCCTGGGGGAGGATCACGGATTAGCTCAGGGGTCTGCCCCGTGCAGTGAGGGCCACACTCCGTCATCGTCACCCGTTTTGTGTTGGCTCTGTGATGAGCTGTGTCAGAGCTGGTTCTGTGCTTGTGATGGACATGAGGCGGGAGGGCCTTGTCCTTGAGCCAGTCATGCCCTGCCTGCTGACCAAGGGCTCTGGCCAAGGAGATCCCTAAGACTCCCTCGGGCCCTGAGTGGCAAGGTTTCCTAGGGAGGCAAGAAAGGCCTCCAAAGTGAAGAGGCATGTCCTGGGAGGAGCCCAAAGGATGAGTCGGGGCTGGGGTCGAGGGGTGCATGGCCGCTAACCCACACTTTTTGCCTAGATCTGGGACATCAAGGATTACTGCGTATTTGTTGGCCAGCAGCCACCACACCCCAATGTGAGCAGTGCTGTCACTGAAATGGAAAACAAGTTCCGGGTGCTAATTCCTAAAAGGCTGCAGATCAGCACCCCTTACTACATTCCTTTGAAGGAGAAGGAGGTAGGGAGGTCACCGGAGCGTTGCTCAGAAAAACACCTTGAGTCCCACTGGGGTGCTGGGCCCCTGGTTCCCTCCTGTCATCAGAATCCTCCTTGCTTTCTGTTCACGGCTGTCAGTGAAGTGAGAAAAGCTGTGCCAACCAGAAGTCACATCAGCAGTGAGCATCAACACGGGCACACCAGTACACGCACACACCCAGACACGCCCTCCCGCGAGCTTCAACACAGGCACACCAGCACACGAATACACGTGCACACCCAGACACACCCTCCCGCGAGCTTCAACACAGGCACACCAGCACATGAATACACGTGCACACCCAGACACACCCTCCCGCGAGCTTCAACACAGGCACACCAGCACACGAATACACGTGCACACCCAGACACGCCCTCCCGCGAGCTTCAACACAGGCACACCAGCACACGAATACACGCACACACCCAGACACGCCCTCCCACGAGCATCAACACGGGCACACCAGTACATGAATACATGTGCACACCCAGACACGCCCTCCCTCGAGCTTCAACACAGGCACACCAGTACACGCACACAAGTGCACACCCAGACACGCCTTCCCGCAAGCTTTGATCTTTGCACTGAGGACTCTGGGGTAATGACTTCTTATAAAAAATACAACATATAAATATTTTAATAAATGCAACACATTTGCATGGCTCAGTAATCACTTGATATTTCCATGCTGACTAAGGGAGTTGAGCAGCTTTTCAGATTGAAGCCACAACGTGATGGCACTGAATACCTGCCGAATGACCGAGGCTAAAAGGACGGGCGAGAGCCGGTGCTGGCAAGGAGCGTGCTTCTCGGCTGGGACTGGCACTGCTGCAGGGGGTGTCGGTGGCTGTCACCATTATGGAGAACCGTTTGACAGCAGCCACTGACGCCGAATATGTGCCTACTCTATGATCCAGCAGTTCCGCTCCTGGACTTACACCCAGGAGAAGTGCCTGCACTCAAAGACACAAGCAAAGATGTTGACAGAAATACTGTGTGTGGTAGCTCCACATTAGCAACGACTCACGCCTCTGGCGTAGGCTGGAAAACTAGATTGTGGTGTTCTCACACTACAGACTAGTGTCTGGCACTGGGAACGAACAGGATACACTTCTCACTACAAAATGGGTAACTCTTCAAGCAATTTAAGCAAAAGTCAAGCCTAGATGAGGATGTGTTGTGTTTCTAGAGTGTGACACCAGGCAGATCTCTCCTGTTAGAAGTGATTATTTCTGTGGGAGCAGCGGAGTGGTTGGAATGAGACCCCAGGGGGCTTCTGGGGCCTGACCACTGTTTCATCACCTGGCTCTGATCATGTTTGTGCTCAACTTGTAGATGTTTATTCAGGGGTCCATTTAGTATGTATGCACTTGTCTGTTTAGTGCACATCCATGTAAGTTAAAACCATGTGGGGTGGATATTTGGCGCAGCAGTTAAGACGCAGCTTGCGAGGCCTGCATTCCTAGTTGGAGCACCTGGGTGTGAGTCCCAGCGCTGCTCCCCACTCCAGCTTCCTGCTGATGTGCACTCCGGGAGGCAGCGGTGAGGCTGAAGTTCTTGGGTCCCTGCCACACATGGGAGACCTCGATGGAGTTCCCAGCGCCCAGCTTGAGCCTGGACCAGCCCTGAATGTGCAGGATTTTTTTTTAAAAAGGGTTTATTTATTCGAAAGAGTTAGAGAAGGAGAAACAGAAATCTTCCATCTGCTAGTTCACTCCCGAAATGGCCTCAACAGCCAGGGCTGGGCCAGACTGAAGCCAGGAGCCAGGAGATTCTTCCAGGTCTCCTGTGTGGGTGCAGGGGCCCAGGACCATCCTCTGCTGCTTTCCCAGGCCATAGCAGGGAGCTGGATCAGAAGTGGAGCAGCCAGTACTTGAACCAGTGCCCATTTGGGATGTCGCATAGTGGGCGGTGGCTTTACCTGCTACACCACAGTGCTGGTCCCAGCTGTGCAGGAATTTGGGGAGTGAACCAGTAGATGGGAGGTCTCTGTCTTAGAGTGCACATTAGCAGGAAGTTGGAATGGGGAGCGGGGCTGGAACTCAAACTGAGGCACTCTGATAAGGTGTGCAGGTGTCCCAAGTGGTGTCTTAGCTACTGTCACCACCTGCTGTCACCTTGCTTTTCATATTCCATGATACATCTTAGAGACCTTTGCAGCTCACTTCTTTCTCCCCTCCCGCCCCCTCCCCTCCCTTCTCCTCTTCTCTCAACTGTGCACTAAGCCATAGGATATACTATTGAAATAATCCCCTTTTAAGAGAAAATTGTGTTTTTTATACAAATCATAAACAAAAGCCAATGTTATTTCACGTAAGGGAAAACAGGTATGTAGATAAATTCCTAGAAGCGGGATTGCTAGGCCAAAGAGTTAGACCTTTCCAGTCTTGATGGGCATCTTGCAGTCTTAGGTCCCCCCCTGCTTTTTTTAGTTTGTTTATTTATTTTTATTATTTTATTTATCTGAAAGAGTTACAGAGAGAGGTAAAGATATAGAGCTAGAGAGAGAGAGGTCTTCCATTCCACTGGTTCACTACCCAAATGACCACAATGGCCAGAGCTGAGCTGATCCGGAGCCAGGAGCTTCTTCCGGGTCTCCCTTATGGGTGCAGGGGCCCAAGAACTTGGGCCATCTTCTACTGCTTTCCCAGGCCATAGCAGAGAGCCGGATAAGAAGAGTAACAGCTGGGACTCAAACCGGCGCCCATATGGGATGCTGGCACTGCGGGCTGGGGCTTTAACCCACTGCGCCACAGCACCGGCTTTAGGTCCCTTTTAAATCTGCACTATAAATATATTGTGTTCAGTCTAGTTTTAATAGAAGTTCACTGTATTCAATTCTGTTGAAAATGGATTACCCATGGGTTCAATATAGAAGGAATTTATGATGTTAGTATGATCACTCTACCACTGGAGCCATCACCTGCTGCCTCTCCGGATCGTGGTAGCAAGCAGCTGAACTGGAAGTGGAGGAGCTGGAACCCAAGTCAAGCACTCTGACGTGGGATGCTTAAGGACTGAGTGGTGGCCTACCCTGCCGTGTCACAGCACCTGGCCCATAATGATACACTTTTTTTAAAAAAAAAAGATTTATTTATTTATTTATAAACAAAAGCCAATGTTATTTCACATAAGGGAAAACAGGTATGTAGATAAAGTCCTAGAAGCAGGATTGCTTTGATTACACAGAGAGAGGAGAGGCAGAGAGAGAGAGAGAGAGAGAGAGAGAGAGAGAGAGAGAGAGAGAGAGAGGTGTCTTCCATCTGGTGGTTCACTCCCCAATTGACTGCAACGGCTGGAGCTGCGCCAATCTGAAGCCACGAGCCAGGAGCTTCCTCCGGGTCTCCCGCATGGGTACGGGGCCCAAGCACTTGGGCCATCTTCTGCTGCACTCCCAGGCCATAACAGAGAGCTGGATCAGAAGAGGAGCAGCTGGGACTAGAACAGGCACCCATATGGGATGCCGGCGCTTCAGGCCAGGGCGTTAACCCGCTGCGCCACAGTACCGGCCCCCATAATCCATAATGATATACTTTTTTTTTTTTTTTTTTTTTACAGGCAGAGTGGACAGTGAGAGAGAGAGAGAAAAGTCTTCCTTTGCCGTTGGTTCACCCTCCAATGGCCGCCGCGGCCGGCGCGCTGCGGCCGGCGCACCGCGCTGATCCGATGGCAGGAGCCAGGAGCCAGGTGCTTCTCCTGGTCTCCCATGGGGTGCAGGGCCCAAGCACCTGGGCCATCCTCCACTGCACTCCCTGGCCACAGCAGAGGGCTGGCCTGGAAGAGGGGCAACCGGGACAGAATCCGGCGCCCCAACCGGGACTAGAACCCGGTGTGCCGGCGCCGAAAGGTGGAGGATTAGCCTAGTGAGCCGCGGCGCTGGCCCGATAATGATATACTTTTAACAAACAGGACTGTATTTTCTGTGACCCGATTCTCTGTTTCATCAGATATTTTTTCCTTTGTAGAACTTGGCTGATATTATTTTAGTTAGACAAGTTGTAACCTATACATTTATGCCGTGCAGTGTGGAATTTTTGGCTCAGACAAGTCAACATTCCATATGACCTCACTTTCGTGGTGAGACACTTGAAATTCCCTCCTGGTTGTTTTGAAGTGCGCTGTATGATTGACCGTAGTCGCCCGTTTTGTGTGGTAGATTTCAAAACTCTCCTTTGCCTGAAACTCCTCCCTCCCTCCTCCTGCCGCTCCTCATCTCCCGCCCCCATACCTGGTCAGGCAGCGTGGTACGTGCTTGTCTTTCTGTGCTGGCGTCTCATTCTCATGGCGTCTTCCAGGCTCCCCATGCTGTTGCAGATGAGTTTCCTTCTTTGCCGTCGTGTGCACACACCACACGTTCCAACCCATTCATCCGCGGGTGGGCGCTTGGTTGGTGCTGTTAGCCGTTGTCAGTAGTGCTGCAGTCAGCTTGGGAGTGCGGGTGTCCCCCGCGCATGCTGATTTCAGCTCCCTGGGCTGTAACCGGGAAGTGGGATTGCTGGACCCTATGGTCATTCCGTTTTTAGTTTTTAAGGAACCTCCACACGATTTTCCAAAATCGTTTAGCTAATTTACATTCCCACCAAAAGTGCTTAAGCGTTCCCTTGTTTACCGCACTTGTTAGCTTCTTTTCTATAATAGCCATTCTAGTAGGTGGAAGGTAATATCTCATTGTGGTTTAATTTATTTCCATGTATTGATTTTTTCATTTATTTATTTTCATTTTACTTGAATGACAGAGGTATTCCATCTGCCAGTTCACTCCCCAAAGCCTGGCATAGCCCAGGCTGCGCTGGGCCAAAGCCAGGAGCCCACAATGCAATACAGGTGTCCCACGTGTGTGGCAGGAATTCAAGTGTGCGATCCACCACCTGCTGCTTCCCAGGGTGTGCGCTGGCAGTGGGCTAAGCTGGATCAGAAGTGGCAGAGCCAGAGCCTGAATCAGGCACTCCGATGCAGGATGCAGGCTAGCCCAGTGGCGAGCA